ACAAAGTTTTCCATTTTAATGTATCAATCAATGATCATAATATTCATCACAGATGATGAGGCAAGACAAAGTGATACCTTCTGTCATTAGTGTTCACGAAAAGTGGTGCATAGCTAGCCATTTCAACAATATCACTGCAAAAAAAGAACAAAAACAAAATCTCACAAGTTCCTTTCCACCTAGTTTTTCGGAGCATTCATAGAAACATTTCAAGATCTACCAAAACCTGTTCTTCTCAAGGCCAATGAGAAATCCAGCTTCAGCGATGGCTGCAAGGAGACTGCCTGTGCCAGCGTCTGAACCTGTCACCGCATACTCGCTCACAAAAGCCTGCAGAGAAACCGCAGAAGTTGGTTTGTATTCTCTTCTATATTTAGAGAGAAAACGGAGAGAGGCATACCTTTGGACCAGTACGTGATGTTTTATCAAACTTATGAGCCATTGAAAACATTTGGTTGGCTGAGGTATATATCTAATCAAGGGAAAATTAGTATGATATCAATTTGTACATCCAGTCTGATTCAAAAAATAACAATATGAAATCATAAAGAAAAATTACATGAAAGTCATAGTAATCAGCTGGGTGATCCAACTTCACAGAAGATCCATCACAGTTTGAGATTATTTTGATGTCAGGATAGGCACGTTTTAGAGCATTGTAGATCTTGACATAGTTTCCTGCTCAAACTAAACTTGTTTACAAAAAAGGAAAAATTAAAACCTGTGAAGAAACTGAAGTTGTTAAAAGAAACCTCTGTAGTTCTTTTTGCCACAGTCCTCATTTCCAAGGGCGACATACTTTAAGTCGAAAGGTTGTGGATGTCCCATTGCAGCCCGAACAGAACCCCAAGTGGAATTAGGATCTCCTCTTGCAAACTCGATACTGTCGAGGGCTTCCTAAAATCATTACAACATGGTTAGATAATCATAAAATAGCTGGCTCATAATTTAGCAGAAAATGAAATGATTGTGAGCTGACCTGCACAAACGGTGAGATATTGGAAGTGTCTACCTGGTCTTGGTGGCTGATTCCTAAGAAGATCAAATTAGATAATGAGCAGAAGAAAATAAATAAAAGGAGAAAGATGATAAGGAAGATAACTATCATGGATTACCATTATTGAACACCCAAACTGGCGCAGCACCAAGATCTTCTGCCAGCTGCAAAGATGAGCTTAAGATATGATGATATACAACCAGCCTTGAGGATGAGTATCAATACTAAAATTAAATACGACACTCACTTGGAGAAATTCAAAATAGCCGAGCCCATCATCAGTCCAGTACATCCAAACATCACCAAAGTGTCCAGGTCTCTGTTCCCATGGTCCAATGGTTTCTTTCCAACGAAATGCATTTCTTAACCATTCACCTTCCACAAAGCATCCACCTGGAAATCTAATGAATCGGGGTTTCAAATCGGCCATCATTTGGACTAGATCATTTCGGAAGCCATGACCCTGCAGAATGAGTGGTTACAACAGTAAGGAAAACCAATGTCGAAGAGTAATGCATATGAACCAATTTAAATGCATATGGACCATTTTGAATTGAGTTTCCAAATGGGACAGTCGTGTTTATATCATCCTCAAAAGATACAAACTAATTAATGCAGTATCTAAAGCCATAACCAAAAAACTATAGAGAAAATTATGCAAAGACCCAAACTCATGCAGTCCCATCAACTTGGTGAATAGTGTTGGATCAAACATTGTAATTCTAAACTTCAATCTCGAGTAACTTCTTTTAATAGAAAACCAAGAAGATAAAACACTTCCTGAAAACAAGAAGATTCAGGATTCATAATAATTTCTAACATCTGCTACTTAAAAAAAAGAAAAAACGTATCTACTACTTCCCCTTGGACTTTTGGGCTCTCTTGGACTTCCCCTCAGGGTTTTTTAAAACGTATCTACTAGGGAGAGGATTCTACACCCTTATAAAGCATGCTTCGTTTCCCTCTCCAATCGATGTGAGATCTCACAATTTACCCCTTTTCGGGGCCAGCGTCCTCGCTGGCACTCGTTCCTCTCTCCAATCGATGTGGGATCTCACAATCCATCCCCTTTTGGGGCCCAACATCTTCACTAGCACATCGCCTGGAACCTAGTTCTAATACCATTTGTAACAGCCTAAGTCCATCGCTAGCAAATATTGTCCTCTTTGGGCTTTCCCTTCCGGGCTTCCCTTCAAGGTTTTTAAAACGCATCTGCTAGGGAGAGGTTTCCACACCCTCCCTCATAAAGCAGACTCCATTCTCCTCTCCAACTGACGTGGGATCTCACAAAAAGTTTATATAACATTTTACTTGTTAAAAAAAGTTGTAGATTTAGCTAGCTGATGCCTGATTTAAGCTACAAATAGACATATAAAGACAAAGTACCTTATATGTTTCCACAGGCATGGCAGATACTTGGTCAAACCATATAACTCCTTTTTTCGACGTTGTCAACTGAAGACGTGAATTATAATTAGTTTCTGTGGCAGTCAATAGAACCTCCATCTTTGACCAGTTCGACACATCAGAAGATCTACAAAGACAAGTAATCTATATTAAATTTTCATTCCAACAAGGAATTCTTTTCTAAAATTCAGATAACCTCACATGATGGATGCTGTTGCCAACTTTTTCAGCCCTCTTGAATCCGTGAGTGAAACGGACACATCAATTTCTCCCAAGGACCGAACAAAAAGAGTCACTTTGTATGCCTTTCCTTCTTCAATATTCTGAAAGAGAGAAAAAATTTGAGTTAGAAAAGGAACCAATTCTCAAGCATAAAAGGATGACAAAGAAACTTCTTGTAATGGCCTAAGCCCACTGCTAGCAGATATTGTCCTTTTTGGGCTTTCCCTTTTAGGCTTCCCCTCAAGGTTTTTAAAACACGTCTACTAGGAAGAGATTTCCACACCCTTATAAAGGGTGCTTCGTTCTCCGCCCCAACCGATGTGGGATCTCACATTTCTTCTGAAAGAGAACTTACCATGCCCCAGAATCCAGGGTTGTAGATACCAACTTCTCCAGTTGGACAGACATTGTTATCCCTACTGTCACACAACACCTCCATACGCAGTGCCACCTTATTCCGATCAAAGCAGGACGATCGATCCGTTGAAACACTTATACTCGACTCATCTCCAATGATTGACCAAGGATAAATATTAGACGGAGTGTTTGGACCCCCAGCTTCAAATCCTGTGGATGAAAGATCATGATTATATCATCAGCAAAGCCTTCATCCATAAGGACCAGAACATATACAAAATGGGATTCCACAGTTATTAATTCATTGTCCATCATCTTCTTTATGCTATGTTCATCAATGAGTAAAAAGAAAAAGGAATTAGGTTATCAGAGCTGACCTCTGTTGCTCACAAGCTCTGCCCATATTCCACCAGCCCCTGCATGATTAATTTCCTGTGAAACAAAACATAATGTAGTAATTTCAGAAAGAAGACCTTGCAATTCAGAAAAAGTATTCCAACCAACCTCAAAAAAGATTCCAAAAAGCGTGTCTGGAATCTGCCGTGCTGATGCTTCTGAAGCATTAACAACTAGCCGGATAGGCTGGACAGTGTCATCTCCAATGGCAAAGAATGTACTAACAGAGACAGCCACAATACCGAAGCATAGCAGAACATAATATGAGACTTTACTAGAAGCCATTAACATTGCTGCATCCAACGTTATCAAAACCAAAAAAGGAAAATCAGAGAAGACTCATTACAAGTCAATAAGGGACAAAATCAATAAAGGACAACACAACGAACGGTTTGTCCGTCCATCCATAGCTATACAAACACGTTGCCATTACACAGCAAACAGGATAAATTATAGTATCTATTTTGGCAAAAAGAAAATAACAGTAACAAACAGGACCGATAGTGATAGATTAAGCGACTAGCTAATGAGACTTGATAGAACTGAAATCAGAGAAGACCCATTTCAAGGAAAATGCAAAACCCAATTCACAAGCAAACCCTATTCTCAACACGATCAGACGAACAGCCAACATAATCAGTTCAAATTCAACAGGAAAGAGTAATGAACCTGCTGGAGTTTTTCAGGACATGAAATTGAGTTCAATTTGATAAACTCGAGATGGATTACCTCCTTAAGAAGACTTTGATCATCCCAACTGAGAGAGTACCCTGTGTTTCCTTGCTTTCACGCAAAAATTTCGAAAGAGAGAGAAAAACCCATCAGGGTGTGGAGTACAAGTAGAGCCCATCATCACTCCTACCAAGAATTGCTTCAATGGGCCCCCAACTCCACGCAGTGACCTTGTGAAACGCAGGACGCAACTGTAATTTGTGGGTTAATTTAGGAGAAGGATGAAGGCTTGTGTATCAGTGTATAGAGAAAATGGCGTTTAATTCGACCCCAACTTTTGCTTAAAGAAACAAAGATGAAAATGATGATTCTACCATTTTCGTTGAAGATGATGGTGTCAGCGATAACATTCCTATCCAAATGTCGCCATTTCTTTCGTTTTTATTTGCTTCAACGCCACGTCCCGTTCAGCATCAATGGTTTGGATCAAAGTGCATAAAACGCTTCCTGGTTTGGAATTGAGTGTAGATGGAAGATAGGGAAAGATTTGGGTTTTCACTGAAATCCGCCTCCTTTCATTGCAGTCATACTGTACTCTTAACGCTCAAATCATTTCTAGAAAAGTTTTTTTTTTTTACCGGAAGTTTATCCAATCCAACCTTAAATTCTGAGCTTAAGCTGAAAAGGTATTTAATTATTCATCGAATATATAATTTTGTTAATATGGTTTAGATGTTTTTAATGAAAGTATAATTTGATAGATAAATAATAATAAACGGTGCGTCCTACATTTTCAACCCGAGTGACACTTCACTCTTGACCACAAGTCATCCACTAATTTTTCAACATCAGTCGGTTCAAACCCGTTTACAAGGGGAAGGAGAAAGTGTGAGACCGCGAGGGAGAAAGAAGGAAGCAAGACAGATAGAGCTAACAAGAAGAAAAGTGGTAAAAGAAATAGAAGAATAAATGGATCAGTGTGTGAATAGAATCTGAAAGTGGCATGTGGAATTTGAGCTTTATTTTAAAGCCACTTTGGATACATGAAAACGTAAAGCAACCAACATGTTGAACAACGAAACAAAAAATTCCTCACCCACCACAATAAGCTTCTGATGTCCTCTACACTTCGCTTACCTAATCTACAGCCCAATCTTTCTTAACCCAATCTTCCTCCCTGCTTCTAATCACAACAGCAAGCGTTTATAGCTGCACGTTGCTCTTCCCTGCCTCCCCAGAAAAATGGAACCTGTTCCACCAAAAATCTTGTACACAACTTTCATGAACATATAGACATGTATGTGTTAGATGAAGTCCAGGAAATGTCTAAACAATGATCATGTACATATATAAGTTGAATCATATAAAATGATTTCGACTACTACTTTTAATTCTGTCAAAAGATGACTTAACAATAGAGTAAATGAAGCCAACTTGAACATAACTCAATTGTCTCAACATTCTCCTGCATCCCTTACAAAATAACCACATTACCTACTCATCTTAAATTAATTCTAATAGTAAACCATCCCCATAGACCAATACATATATTTTTAGTATGTTTTGTCCTCACTCACACGCTTAACTTTGGTTTCTTATAATTGGGTCAGTGAAGATGCGTCTTGCTAGTATAGATCGTAATTATCGATTCTTTTAAACCTTTCTTAAACATAATTTCATATCCTTTGGATCATTCTCAATCAGATTTGGTCTTTGTTCATTCATGCATTTCCCTGACAAAGATGTAGGTGATAGTCTAAACGATCAAAATAAACATACATATAGAAAAAATGACACAAGGAAACTCATGTAAATCAACAACAAGAAACTTATTAATGTGTTCAATAGGTATACCTTTTTAACGCCTAAAACTTGAAAGCTTCAACTTGAGGTGAGTCATTGGCATCCTTGGTCCCATCTGTGTTAACCCCACCAGGGATGGAACTTTCTACGGCTACTTCGTCACTATCTTCCATTGATAATTCTAGCTGAGGATCAGGTATTCCATCACTGCCACCTTCTTCAAGTTCCTCTGCCTCTCGGTCAAGACGAAACAGTGGATCAACATGAGGTCTCTCTCCTTCTACCATCATTTTCAGATCATCTTCCAGGTCGTCCATGTATTCGAATCTCCTCAATATGTCAGGAGTTGGGAACGTCTCATCCTCCAAATATTTAGTACCCCTTTCCATATCAAGTTTCTCCTTCGAGCTAAAAATACCTTCTTCAAGATAAGGAGTAACGCCCATCATCATGTCATCCTCCTCAACAATGGATCGGAACTTATGTGATGACGGTGGAATTTTCGAGAAAAATACTTCTCCAACGTTCTTCATTGTTCCTTTATTATATGGATTCTCCTTCTTGTCGTACCGATACCGGAAATTCTCATAGGTAGTCTGCATTAGAATGACTTTATTAGGATAAGCAAGCAAGTATAGTATTAAACACTAAACTACTATTTGTATGTATAAATTGTGAATTGAAGTGGGTGAGTATAGAAAACTACCTGATTTGTGAGTACAAGATAAGAATGGAATACAGAAAGGCCACCAACGAACCAAAAGGCAATGAAACAATACACTACTAGAATATCTGAAAGGATGTCTTTGGACACAGCCTTGAAAAAGGCTTCTTGATGATGAATAAGGATGGACAACGAAAACGACAACACGTATAAACACAAGATTGTCGAGGTCGTTATGAACATGAAGAAGAACCGATAATTACGCTGCAACAGTAACAACAATGGATCTAATAGTTAGAATTCAACAAAATAAATGAAATGAAATGAAACCTCTAAGTGCTTTCAGAATTATGCTAACAAAATTTGAGGCAAAGTTTAATAAGATTGGTTTAAGTATATGAATATCTTACTATTCCAATGCACTGCCCAACCCATGGGCAGTGATGATCAAATCTCTGAACACAATTGTTGCATATGGAACAATGAGATGCACGAGGAGGGCGATAAAATAAACAAGTGTCACAGTACTTGACTTTTACTGTATGACCATTTATAGTCACATCTTTAATCCGAGGGATTTTTAGATGTGGGGTTCTTCCATTGATCCATTCCACGGATGGTGTATTCATGTCATCTAGTTCATCTGACTCAAGAGGCCTTGAATTTCGAGGCAGTATTCCAGGATCTCTACTAGAAGTCGCGAACAGAAATATCAAATCCTGCACATTTTACTTGCCATGTGATTTTCTGATTCAAATTAAGGATAATGAAAATGCACTGATTTTACCCTAAATTTCTCATCAGCCTTTAGTGTGAGTTTAGAATGACTAGTAAGTGAAAAATGAAACACGCTTTCAATAAGCATTTTGAGAATACTTTGAGAAGAGTGTTAATCAAGAGTAACCGATGTATATCGCTCAGTTTTAGAATTTATTATGCTGTCAATAATCATGGAACTCTAACCGCCCAAGCCCACCTCTAGCAAATATTGTCGGCTTTGGTTTGTTACGTATCGTTGTTAGCCTCACGGTTTTAGAACGCGTCTGCTAGGGAGAGGTTTCCACGCCCTTATAAGGAATGTTTCGTTCCTTCTCCAATTGATATGGGATCTCACAATCCACTTCCCTTGGGGAACCAGCGTCCTCGCTGGCACATCGTTGGGTGCTTGGTTCTGATACCATTGGTAAAAGCTCAAGCCCACCACTAACAAATATTGTCCGCTTTAGTCCGTTACGTATCGCCGCCAGTCTCACGGTTATAAAACATGTATGCTAGTGAAAGGTTTCCACACCCTTATAAGGAATGTTTCATTCCCCTCTCCAACAAATGTTGGATCTCATAATCCACCTCCCTTGAGGGCCAGTGTACTCGCTAGCACTCCGCTCCGTGCTTGGCTCTAATACCATTAGTAACAACTCAAGCCTACCACTAACAAATATTGTCTGCTTTGACCCGTTATGTATCGCCGTCAACCTCACAATTTTAAAACGCGTCTGCTAGGGAGCGGTTTCCACATCTTTATAAGGAATGTTTCGTTCCCCTCTCCAACTAATGAGAGGTCTCACAAAAAAACTCGAAGGACAAACTACAGATAACCATGGAAGGAAATATTCTATACAGTCTCATCTCTATAGTTTTCTTTCGTTCTTTCAAGCTCTTACATTCTAATTGCATAGACCACCTTACTAAGAAGACGGGCAAAAACAAATTAAAACTCACCAGAAAAGTGAGGGCGAGACCTCCAAATAATACAGGATACCAACGAGCGTTCCCAGGTGGTTCAACATCGTGGATCTTCAAATATATCTTTACGCAGAAAGCAACTGCAGGACCAGCAATAAGACATATGGAGAGAATCAGAGATGATACGTCAGGGCCAAATATCAATCTCCCACCACAGAAAAATCTCTGAGAAGACACAAAAAACGAAGTATCATCCATTTGAGTAATATTACATTAATAAACAAATAATGTATGATATGATATGATATCTGTTCACGAAATACAGAAGAATTCTACTAGTTCTTTATATTCAGATGAATATCATACAACGCAGAAACACTCACAGATACAACTTAGATTTTCCTTCAACGATCTCAGCTCATAAACAGAGTCATCAAGTTGAACTTGAACAAAATTAATCAATCGTAAAGAAAGAAAGAAACAATGGCACTGATAGATACATCAAACACTATCTCAAATCCCAAATGTTGAATCAAATAATGAATACAAAACAAACCCATCAAGCAAAACAAAAGGGTAAGAACGCACATTACTTCCCCTCCAAACTTGGTAAAGTCTCAAGAGGTTGTTCGGCGTGGCCATACCGAGTCCGGTGAACGATCCACCCAACTCGGAGAATCCTGTACCCAAAACACAGTAAGAACAAAACACAAACCCTTATTCGTTCACCAAAAAAGTCATCGATTAAAACAGACGAACCCCCAAATCAAGACCCGACTCAAAAGACGATTCAAGAAATCAGAAACATCCCCTTCAGCGGTAAGATCTTTTTCGACACACAAAACGAAACTAAACTACGTGCGTACACATGAGAAAGAAAAATAAACGTTGAATCTTAAAGCGCGGAAACGATGGAGGAAGGTTCGGAGGGTTTTCGATCAAAAGCCAGCTGAGGCTCTCTGGGTCTGCTCGTGGAAAAAATGGGTTGCAGAAATTGGAAGAAGAAGAAAGAGTAACCCAAGAGAAAGGTTCGTCTCTGTGTGTTGTGAAAACGATGAAATGGGTTTGATGGCATTGATGTGTTAGGCGGCAGTTTCAATTTCCCGCGGCATTCGCGCCCGACGCACCCAACATTCTTTGTCGATTGGAAAAATAATAATGGAAATTTTGGGAGCTTTCAACTTCGCTACCTCCAATCCAACTCCATCGTTCTATCCATGAAACGTGCTGTCACATACTCAACCTCCTTTCTTTCTTTAATGGCTTTCCAATCAATTCTTATTCCACGGGATTAACTTCATGTTGGTTGCTTCATTGTCAAGTCATCTCAAATTTCATATCTTTTTTTTTTCTAAGTACAATAATTATGAAACAAATACATTAATTTGTACTTAACCAACTTCTAGTTTTTATTATCATATATATATATATATTTTCACATCTCATTTGAGTTAGATGATTAATTATAATAGAAGTAGACAATATAATCACCATAGTAAAAGGAATTTTTTGCCCAAGTGTAAAAAATGCCGAATTGTCAGCTAGCTCTTCCCCTTTATCGGCTCATTCATTATGCAAGCAAGCAACCGTTCAACGCTACACCGTTTTTGCATCAATTCTTTCCCAGTTCTATACCACTCCCACCTATTCCTACCGTCGAACGATAGAGAGCATATAGTTATTTGTTCTCCTAAACCATATGGTTTCTTACTGAATTAGTTCACGAGAAAAAAATGGTTGTTTCATGCATGTTCCAGATTGTGGCTACAAACAATGCATGAACATGAAATCGTAACTCTACTGTTTGTTTATGATATAATATGTCCCAGACTAACACAGGTCATTTTAATGTCTTTTTAGGAATGTGCATTTCATGGATACAAATAGTAATCTACCAATTCTTTTAAGTTTTTCTCAACTATTAATTCATATATTCAATAACACTTTCATTTAAATGTAATATCGATTCATTAATGTAGTCCTCTTTCACAGGAGCATCATATGACTAAGCAGATCGGATAGGATCTGATACATTAGTAAGAGTGTCAACTCTTCTTGCCACGACAGGGCACCATGGAGACCTACCCAACCTACTTTAGGATGTTCAATCATTCAGATTTCTTCTTCGTGTTTACATTCTCCTCGTTCGGTTGTCGAAATAGTAACTTAAACGTCCATACGGCAAGTATGGTTCCTTGAATTGGAGCAATCCAGTATACAAAAAGGTGTTCTTTGGTTATATGTTCCCCACGAGCATACGCCCATCCTATTACCTATGGAGAAAAGTTGAAAAGGATTAATGCGTGATATTGTATGAATGAAATATGAGTATTGAGACTTACAGAGGCAGGGTTCATGCAACCACCGGTTAAGTCAGAACCAAGAATCTGAAGAGTTAACTTGGAGCAGCTGGAGATCCATGTCTTCATGAAGAAATTTCCTGGGAGTGTCGTGGACAGTCCAAGCGAGATTAGGACAATGCCGTATGTTAACAATCCTTCTGTGAGAGCACCGTGATGGATGCCAACGTTCAAATGAGGCCCTCGTCCTGCTTCAGGGATTGTCTGGATAATCAGCCTAACACCACTAATGGCTCCAAGTACCTGAAGAGGTAAGCCAGAAACATCATCATCTGTTATTATTCTTCACATTTCCATCCATTCTAATGTACAAACCGCTAGTTGATATTATCCGTTTTGACCTACTATATATTACCATCAGTTTCATGGTTCTAAAACGTATCTGTTAGGGAGAAATTTTCACACCCTTCTAAGGAATGTTTTGTTCTCCTCTTCAACTGCTCACAGCCCACCTCGCTTCGGTGCCTAACATCCTCGGTGGCACACCGCCTGGTGCGTGGCTCTAATACCAGATGTAACAGCCTAAGCAGCCTACTGCAAGTACATATTGTCCTCTTTGAGCTTTTTCCTTTCGGGCTTCTTCTCAAGGTTTTTAAAACGCGTCTATCATTGGACGGTGCGAAACACTGGTTGGAGTAGAGTTAGACCCTCTTCATAGCAAACGCTTTTTAAAATCGTGAGACTAACGACGATATGTAACAGGCCTAAGCGGGTAATAGTGGCCTTGAATTCTTATAAATGGTATCAGAGCCAAACAAAGGATGCTGGGGGCCCTGAAGGGGGTGGATTGTGAGGTCTCATATCGGTTGGAGAGGAGAACGAAACATTTCTTAGAAGGGTGTGGAAACCTCTCCCTAGCATGATGGTAACGGTGATACACAAAGAGCCAAAGAAGAAACGTCAATAATGAAGGGAAAGGGGACTATTCCCCTCCCACACAGAAGAAAAACGACCAAACCATTCCCAAAATCTTGGAGAACATCAGGTAACCATAAGCCTGTGAGAATAATCAAGATAACCACCATAGAACCCAGACAAAGTTTAACAGATACAAAACGCAAGGGGAAAAGAACCTGAGCAGGGATTCTGGCACCTGCAACGAAGAGAAAGCTACTGGAATCCCCAGAAAAAGCATCAGACAAGATGTTAAGAGGATTATAAGAAGCCCCATTCCAAATTTTCGACAAAAACGCAAACACAAACATGTTGAGAATCGAAAAGGAAGCCTTCACAATCTCTCCGACCGGATCATTTCCAAATCCCAATGTCCCAAAAACAAAGATCTTAATCAAAGTCCCCGACCATACCCACATAAAAGCCAGCACAAAATCCAACACAAGCAATCGAGCCCCACAAGTCATCCTTCAAAATGAGATCTTTTGGTGTTTTTTCTTTGACCCTTCCCTCCTCTGGATCGATATAAAAGTGCTCAAGGGTCAAGAGGAAGGAACATTGGTCGATGATGTTTGATTGGACAATGCCGATTTTAGTAATGTCTGAACGTCCTATGTTCTATTTTAACGACATGTTATTTTTGAAATGATATGGTTTATGATGTGTAGTTGATCTTGTTAAAAATATCATTTTTATGGAGAGACGTTTGTATCATAGTTTTAACAAAATAATGATGATGAACATGAATGGTTTTTTTCTCTTAAGGTTATGGTTTGAATTTGACCAAAAAAAGCTCCACACAGATCATGTGCTCTGGTCTTGCATGCCTTAAGAAGCCAGCACGTCCGTTTGTCTGTTCTGCCAACTAAAACAATTACTTTAAAATGTCTTCCCTCGCTTCGCCTTTAAACGGCCATCAAAGCTCTGGTATGATCCAGCAATGGCGATGCCTTCAGAATCAACCATCCTTGCATTGTGGACCCACAGACAACCTTGCCGTTGAAAAAGTTCGGGATTCTTTCTTGTATGTTTTCAGGTTCTCACTCATAATTGGCTTCGCAGCCCCCCAAACGGATAGTTTCATCATTTTCTCGAGACGAAATCGATATTCCGGGTACGTTTTGATTTCTTTACAGTTTTAGAGGAATTCCGGCCACTGCTCGGCTGTTTCAGAGAAGGATCATAGGTACTTTTCATTGGAATTTTGATCATAAACTTGTAAGTTCTTCATTTGGGGGTTTATGTTTTCGATCTGGACTGGTTTAGAGTTTTGGTGTTTCGTTCCGTAGTAGTGACCAGAATCTTCCAATTTAGGTTTGAAGTGGTGCGTAATTGAGCTTGAGCTTTTCTTTCCCTTCTCGACCTCTGGAATTTGAGTATTGATTTGTTCAGAAGGGAAAGAAAATGAGCGTTGTTTCGGGTGTGGTTTCTCGGCAAGTCTTGCCTGTATGCGGCAGTCTTTGTTTCTTCTGTCCAGGATTGAGGGCACGGTCTAGACAGCCCGTGAAGAGGTACAAGAAGCTCATCGCCGATATATTTCCTCGTAATCAGGTCAGTTCTTTTGATGTTTATAGCATTACTTCGTTTCCTGTTCCAACAATGGGGTTTTGGGTTTAGGGTTTATAAAATCTCGACCAGTTCATCAACTCATAGTTCATCCCCCATGACTCAAAACTTACTTCACATTGAGTTGTTCATCACTTTTATGCAATTATCTTCATAATTGACTGAGGATAATCCCTATATTACGCTAGGAAGAAGGACCGAATGATCGAAAGATATCGAAATTATGCGAATATGCTGCTAAAAATCCTCTTCGAATTCCAAAGGTAATGTTTATGAAGCCTTAACATTGTGGTCTGCCATGTATTCATGTTAAACTTCCTAATTTCATGATCAGATAACAACTTCCCTTGAGCAAAGGTGTTACAAAGAACTGCGGAACGAGAATTTCCATGCCGTTAAAATCGTCATGTCGATCTACAGAAAACTTGTGGTTTCATGTAAGGAGCAAATGTGAGGAAACCATCTTTTGTTTTCTGGATTTGTTTTCTGTACATCTTCTCTGTCATTCTCAACTTTAGTGGTTCTAAAACATAACTATTGATTCATGTGGATGAGTGAACTACTTGTAGGTCTCTGTTTACGAGTAGCTTAATAAGCATTATCCAATCTCTAATGGACCAAACACGACAGAAGGAAATGCAAATTATAGGATGTCAGACTCTATTTAGTTTTGTGAATAGTCAGGTAAGTGAAAAATATAGCTTTAGTTCTTGCTTTCACTATGTTAATATGTTTTATTGGTTTAATATTCGAACTTCTGATGGTCCAGATTGATGGGACTTACATGTTTAACCTAGAAGCCTTTGTTCCAAAACTGTGTCAATTAGCTCAAGATAGTGGAGAGGATGAAGGGGCTGAAGGCCTGCGTTCGGCTGGCTTGCAAGGCCTTTCCTCAATGGTATGCCTTTCTATTTCTACTATTTACATTTACATTAAGCTAGTCAAGGAGTGATAATGTGAAATCCCTCGTCGGTTGGAGTGGAGAACGGAGCATTCCTTATAAGAGTTAGACGCGTTTTAAAACCGTGAGGCTAATGGTGATACGTAACGGGCCAAAATGGACAATATCTACTAGCGGTGGGCTTGGGCTATTACAAATGGTATTAGAGCTAGCAAATTCGAATCAATCAGACCAAGGAAGATGCTTGTCTTCAAAAATTGATTCCTCTCCATTCATAATTCTTAGTGTTCTTATTATGGTTCCTTAGCATGATGATGCTACTAATAATAAATTAATGACATGAATAAGCCACCTATGAACTCATGAAATTGCAAAGAGATTACAGGTTGATCGTTTATAATCTTTTCATTTGCATATATTCCTATCTATTTTCATGTACTTCTGTAAATGGGTTGTTCGAATAGCTTGTCAAAACTAATTTGGTTCATTGTTTTTTTTTTGCTTCCAGGTGTGGTTTATGGGTGAATACTCTCATATTTCTGTCGAATTTGATAATGTAAGTTTCTTCCCTCAAACTTGTACCTTTGACAGAAAAATAAACATTATTTCTATTGACTTGTATTATCATTAAACAGATTGTTTCAGTGATCCTAGAAAACTATGGGGCTCCTGCAAAAGATCCAGACAAGTTAAATGATCAATGGGTGCAAGAAGTGGTATGGGACAAGGGTCATATCTCTTCATCGTCAGTTGTCATGACGAGCACACCATCTTGGAGGGAAATCGTGACTGAAGGAGGTGAACTGAACTTGATAGGGTAATAATCATTCATCTCTGGTGAAGTCCCCATCAATAATCTTGCTGATATAAATATTTCATTATAAATTAACTATCTTTGCTTGATAGGGTGGATGTCCGAAACCCTTGCTTTTGGTCTAGAGTTTGCCTACACAACATGGCCAAACTAGCTAAAGAAGCTACAACCATGAGGCGTATATTAGAATCTTTGTTTCGTTACTTCGATAATGGAAATCTGTGGTCTATTGAACATGGCATTGCAGCTCCAGTTCTGAAAGATTTGCAGTTCCTAATGGACAAATGTGGTGTGTTCTTTCAATCCTATTCCTGTTTGTACCTCATGTTTGCTTGTGTTTCTGGTTGATCAATTATGTTTTGATTTTGACAGGTCAAAATACCCATGTTTTGCTTTCCATATTGATTAAACATCTTGACCATAAAAATGTCCTGAAGCTGCCTAAGATGCAGCTTGACATTGTTGCTGTGGCTACTGCCCTTGCTCAAGAGGCAAAAGTTGAACCTTCTATTGCAATAATTAGTTCAGTTAGTGACTGCATGAGGCATTTGAGGAAGAGCATACACTGCTCACTCGACGATGCAAATTTAGGGGATGAAGTGAAAAATTGGAATAAAAGCTTAAATCAAGCAGTAGATCAGTGTCTGATACAGCTAATATATAAGGTGATGAAAATTTGAACCGCTTAACTTTTATTATTGCTGTGCATATTTTAAGATTTTAAATAAGAACTGGAAAGCAGGTCGGAGAACCAGGCCCAGTTCTTGATGCTATGGCTGTGATGTTGGAGAGCCTTTCTTCTGTTACAGTCATAGCCAGAACTGCAATTTCTGCTGTTTATCGTGCTTCTCAAATTGTTGCCTCCTTGCCTAATTTATCATATCAAAACAAGGCAAGAAACAATCTTCTGCTTTTGAGTCTGATTCATGCTCTCCAGCAAAGTTTAACCTTATGATTTTAATAAATTCAGTGTTTTATGGCATAGGCATTCCCTGAGGCTTTGTTTCATCAGTTATTACTGGCTATGGTCCATCCCGATCATGAAACACGAGTTGCAGCTCATCATATTTTTTCAGTTGTCCTTATGCCATCTTCTGTTTGTCCTCGTCTACACGCTTCAGATGTCGAGTCAAGGATGACTTCTGACATTCCTAGGACATTCTCAAGAACTGTCTCTGTTTTTTCTTCTTCAGCTGCCCTTTTTCAGAAGCTAAGGAATGAAAAATTCTCCTTGCTGGAAAATGGTCATCCAGATATGAAAGATAGCTCTCTTGCCGATGGCAAACAGGAAAATGCAAGAAATGGAATGCAAAGTAGCTTGACGTCATCCTACAGTCGGGCATATAGCACAAGAAACTCCGGACCTTTGAGAACTGATGCGACTGCGACTACTATGAACAACTTGAACAAAGAACCAGTATGTTGTGTGAAAATCGTTTCATGTTTTAAGTCAATCTTCAGTAACCGGGGTCGCTTACTTTTTCTTTTATGAATCAAATTTCAGGAAACTCATTCTCTCCGACTCAGTAGCCACCAAATTACACTTCTGCTCTCATCAATCTTTGCACAATCCATATCTCCTGCTAATGTTCCAGAAAATTATGAAGGAATTGCCCATACATACAGCTTGATCTTGCTGTTTTCTCGAGCTAAGGTAAAACAACGCTTTTCAGATTTGATTTTTCTTTTTACTGGGATGAACTGTCAATATATGTTTCTTTCCGTGCAGAATTCAAGTCATGAGGCCCTAATACGAAGTTTTCAGTTGGCATTTACATTGCGAGACCTTTCTCTCAGTAAACGAGGTGAATCTTTAAAACATTAGCACAAATTTGGTCTTTAATCAAATCTGTTGGACGAAATGTTGATGAAATCTGTTACTGTGAGATTTTTCATGCCTCTGTCACCATAAAGATTATACTGGATAGTACTGCACTGAGGCTTGGTTTGTGCCCGAATTGCAGGATCAGTGCCACCATCACGTTGTCGATCCTTATTTACTCTAGCCGCATCGATGATCCTCTTTTCGTCCAAAGCTTTTAATATCCTTCCCCTTGTTGACCAAATGCAGACTATATTCCGGGGCAGAATGGTATGTTGATCAAGAACTAATGCTTTCAGAAATTAGAGTTCCCAAGTCTATGCTTAAATCTGAAGCTGCTATCAAAATTTCAATTATGACTTGTTTTTTAAACATGTTTAGGTTGATCCCTTCCTAGAATTGGTAGAAGGCTGCAAGTTACAAGCTGTCACCATACCGTCTGACAAAACGAGTTGTCCTTATGGATCCAAGGAAGATGACGATTCGGCCTCGAAGTTTCTGTCAGAAGTAGAGATAACCAAAGATCAAACTAGAGAATCCCTTGTTACCGAGATCGTGAAGAGTTTGGATACACTTTCAGATGTAAAGCACTCGACCACTCATTTCTGGATTGGTTCGTTTTTATTGTTAAACACTATAAATTTTTACATCTATGTTGCAGTCTCAATTCTCCAGCATAAAGAAGCAACTTCTCAGCGAGTTTGTACCTGATGTTATGTGTCCTCTCGGAAATCATCGGTTAGAGGATACGTCGAATAACGTGTATCAGGTTACACTCTGAACTCTGATAAATTCATTAAAGAGACAATAAACTTATGTAGCATAAGTTTTCCTTGTGGTACTTGACTTTTGTTCTTCCTCTTTGCAGTCTGCTCCATTTTTTAACATTGATGAAGATTCCTTTGGCGATGCATTTGAAAGCCAAACTAAAGATAATCAGGAGTTCATTGTGATTCCAGTTTTGAGTGTGAATCAGCTTTTAGAATCAGTATGTCAGCTACTTTCAAGATCTCATTATTTGATGAATTGACCAAAATTGGGAACTGATTTTTGAATGATCACTTTCTCTATCATGTTTCGTTTAAATCAGGTACTCGAAACAGCAAATCAAGTCGGAAGTATCTCCATCTCGACCACAGATCATGTGCCTTACAAGGAAATGGCCCAGCATTGTGAGCTACTTCTGATGGGAAAGCAGCAGAAGATGTCAACATTGACGTCTTTCCACCTGAAGCAGGAGGAGGTTATGATCTGATCTCTGCAAACCTAACCATTTTTGTTAATATTTAGATCATTTGGGAAATTTGTTTGCAGGGATATGAACTATAGCTATTCCAGCTATTCCAGTAACTAACCCCCAAGCCCACCGCTAGCAGATATTGTCCTTTTTGGACTTTTCTTTCCAGACTTCCCCTTAAGATTTTAAAACACGTCCATTAGGGAGAGGTTTCCACACCCTTATACGAAATGCTTTGCTCCTCTCTCCAACCAATATGGGATCTCACCACCCACCCCCTTGAGAACCCAACGTCGTCGTTGGCGCACTATCCGATTTCTAGCTCTGATATTATTTGTAATAGCTCAAGCCCACCACTAGCAGATATTGGCATTTATGGGCTTTTCCTTCCGAGCTTTCCCTCAAGGTTTTAAAACGTGTTCACTAGGGATAGGTTTTCACACCCTTAAAGAAATGCTCAGAGGTTTTCACACCCTTACAAAAAATGCTTTGTTCCCCTCTTAAACCGAATGTAGAATTATGCCGAAATAGATTCCACCAGAATTATCTAAATTGATGAGAGAGAATCCTTAAGTTCTATGAATAATGTTTATAAACAGTTTTCTTAATTTATGTTTTCAGGATGCAAGTTCCTCACCATGTAGAAGAAACATAAACATTCACAAACTTCTAACACATTCCTGAAATTGCAGGTTAGCAATCCATTCATTGAACACTCATCGGCTAACCCATTTCAACCTCCCTCTGGACCCATTGTGATGCCGTGCATGGCTGAATACGAGTATCATTCACACTCGTTAAGATTACCAGCTTCAAGTCCATATGACAACTTCCTCAAAGCTGCAGGCTGCTGATCAATTGAACCAGAAATATTAGCTACTCAAGCGATTTCATCGAGCGAGATGACTGATGACTAAGCAACTGGAGTACATTTTGTAAGTAGCTACTACAGACACAGACAAAAGATAAGCGTCACACTGAAGGCTTTCATTCTTTTCTTCAAGCTTTCTCTTCATAACTATGGACTCATCCCTGCCCTAGAAGTCGTCTTTTGTTCTTTGTGGAGTTCCATCTTAATTTAATTGATTGTATATTTTGTTCTTCCATTGTTGTCTGTAAACTCTATACCAGCGTTCAAAGTTATGCGATGGAACAGCATAACCTTGTATTACAGAAAAATATTAGAGGAAAGTTATATTCAATGAAGCCAATTTAATTTTCTGTTCATATACTTATGGGACAAAAGAACTAGTTGAATACAATTTCTTTCTTACAACAAATGGTGAGAACACACAAACTCTACAAAAGAAAACAAGTGTTGGGGAGGATGGGGTCAAAGAAATGTTATTTTCCTTCACTCCGAACCAAAAAGAGAAGAAAAATAGCAGTTTTGTATAACAGATGGCTTAGTATACATGGTCTCCCTCAACTCCCGAGGTATCAATTCAAAGTCTCTTTTCTTTTCCTTTTATCCCCTCAAACTAACTCTGCTAGAAGTGGGTCACCTTCTGCCATTATTCTGACCAACTTTATGAAATCTTGTTCACTTGACACATTCCATGGGTGAACAGCAGGCACATGAATTGAATAAATAGTTGATGAATTTGTGGCAGGTGCTTTCTCTCTATACCTCATTGTATTCAAAACCGGATCAAAGTTCTGAACCGAATCCATTGCTGTAAAGAACAAGGGGATTGCAACCTTGTGATGGATTTCTAAATCACCCACTAAACCGAGAAGATCAAGAAAGTCTGCTACGAAGCGCCGAGGAACGTAAAAGACCTCGGAATTGCATATTGTGAGGCTTTGCTCATTTGCTACAGACTGCTTATGACTGACTTGGAAATGAACTGGCATCATGCTCACTATCTTCTTTACCATGTTTGATTGTTTAGTAAACCAGTCTGAGCTTTCAACTGACACAGTAGTCCAAGATTTGGGTACCTGAATTCATTGATACAATGATAAGACTAAATTGAGAGCTTTTAAAGGTCTCAGATTTGCAGTCATCCAAATTCACTAGGATCAACAAGCATTCAAGCAGTTAAATATTGTTTCGAGTGTAAATTGATATTTTCTCGCAAGTTTTTTTCCTACTTTCTACTAATTTACCACAAAATTTTCAACCTCCGTAAGAAGAATTCGTGAGTGCCATCTTAAGGACGAAATTCAAATAAAGAACACAGGCGCTAAACACAATTAACTCAGCTAAATATAGTCCAAGTGGTACCTTATTAGCTATCCAGAGTTTTGATTTGTCCGCCTGTAGCAGATTCCAATAGTTAAGAATAGTATTGTCTTGCAGGAATAGAAACCCTTCTGCACCACTATACATGCTGAAAATTTTGGGCAGGTACCTGTTATAACATAATTAACAACATATTTAGAAGAACATATAATTTTGAAAGCTTAATCAACTGAAGCAAGTAGCAAGCCGAAGACTATTTGAGAATGCAGGTTGAAAACACATTCTCATTCTCTCGACAGCCAACAATTCCAAGTTTGCAACAATAAAAATTGTAAACTGTGCTGTTACGATTCTCTATTGAAATTGTGTAATTGATAATAAACTTATCTCAACAGTTTCAAATCTTGATACCGTGCCAACCAAGTAAAAAGATAAAGATAGTGACAACCTCTTCAATGAATTACGAGCAATTTTTTGGTCACTTGTAAATTGAATGCAACTTGAACGCGTATTTTCTGAGCGTAAACTTCCAATGTCATCATTTTTGTAGAATACTAATAATTATATTTACGTTCTAGGCAGCATGAAAAGAGAACTCAAAATATTGTCTGTCTACCAAATTACTACTTCGGCTTCAAACTCACACAAAATTTTCAATCATGTACTTAAAAAAGTGACTTACTTGTATGCATGGTCCAGTCTGCCTTCTTCCACAACAAGATCTAAATTCTTAGTCTCTGAAAGAATTATCACCGTCTTGAATATCCGCCCATATAGCAACCTCCACTCGAGAGCTGTTCGTTCGACAGGGCCATTACAAAACATGATTAGCACAACATTGCCAAAATATTTTCTCCACCTTATCAAGTTCCCTATCTCATAGCTCACTGTCCCAGTTTCCTCAACTCCAAGGTGTATGGATGGTAGTTTCTGTGGAACAAACTCCTTCCGATCCCCATGACCAATAGTCGCTCGTGGACGATCCAATTCCAGAGACATTAGCCTTGGCTGCTGGTACCCAACAGCGATTAAATCTTGTAGCCAAGCTGCGGTAAACTTCACGTCCTTCTCAGTCCAAAACCCTTCCTCTGCCATTACAAAACTCAACTCCAAAATCTTTTCAAAAAGCCTATGTTTACCTGATCTCCATGAATTCAAAAAATTAACTAAACGACCCACATTCACATGTAGATCTCTTTCTTCTGAAAAAGGGTATGCTTCAATCCTATCGTGTCGATGAACGGTTGGAGGATAAACTACAACATAACCACCAATTTCCCATAGAAGCCTCTGACCCCAATATCCTCTCAAGATATCAGAAGCCATTGTGCTAATGGAAACAGGAAGCATTAAAGCCCAGAAGGCTGAGGTATGATAAAGTGTGTTGAAGGAGTTAATAGGAACCATCATACCCTGCGGCAATGCCACTTTTGGGGCACGTTCATCAAATCTAATATCAAAATCTTCCAATCCAGATTTTCGAGTGAAGTAAAATACCGAATCGACGTCAGGGAGACCGTTGGAAATTCCCTGTTGGATGAACTGCTTTCCACCAAAAACTTCGGTATAAAATTCTTCATGAGCAATTTCACCCACATTTTCCAGTGGCAAGCCCCTAGGCCATACTGATCTTTGCCCAAAATGAATATACGGATTTACAACAGTTCTGTTGGGATTTTCATGGCTATACTGTAATATAATCTCCTGCCTCGCTCCCTCTCCAACCAATTCTACATCGAAATGTTTACCCAAATCCCCATCGATAACTTCCCCTCGATCATCCACATCGAAGATCTTCTTCGCGCCATGTTGAATTGCGAAGAGGTACCCAACAGTTTTCCTCACGAAAGAATCATAGGGAAGAAATTCAATCACACGAAACCCTAATTTAGACTGTTCTTCTAAGGAAAGGAAAATCGCACCTTTAAGAGCCCAATCCGCCGGCGTCAGTGAATTGCCGATCGCCAACACCTGCCAGCCCTTCATTTTCACAAGCTTGCGCAGCGAATCGCTAGGATAAGTAGACACCGAGACTACGATCCATTGCTCAGAGCGAAATTCCGGATAGAGAGAAGAGCTAGCCGGGATCGACGCGATCGAATTCCAATCGACTTTAGGGAATTGAATCTTCTCCAAGGCCGCCGTCTTCGATTGGAAGCAGAGAAGGGCGGCGCTATCGCCGACATTGCGGAGGAAAAAAAGGACGGCGACGGAGACGATCAGCAGCAGAACCGTCACCACTTTGTACATATTTTCAGACAGCCATGTAGAGAAATCGAGGCTCTTAGATTCTGAGAATCGATGCGAGTGGAGAGTCGGCAAGGTTCTGATCTGGGTTTTGGGGGATTTAGGCGTTGAACGCTCTTGGACCAACATTGGATCCAGGAAATTTAGAACACTGGTACACAGTACAAAACTGTTCTCCCAAGATTATCTGAGATAGCTCTCCAATGGCTTCCGTCGATTCAAGAGGGAGTTTCAGGTGGAAATTGGAGATCCAGAAACGGGGTTTGTTGTTGTTGTTGTTGTTGTTGTTGTCAGATCATGAAAATGATCGAAGAGGAAGAATGCGTGCGTGGGATTCTGATTAATCCAGAGGAGAAGACAGTCTGTAATGGAAATTCAAATTATCCTCTGTGCGATGTATTCCGAAAGCAGTGGTTGCCGACAAGCATGTTGCGGAATTCTTCAACTTCAATTCTCACTGACAACTCTTGCTTTCGAGTTTGGTGGGAAGGGACTCTCAGTCTCGGAAACCAAAATGTTAAAAATGCCAAATTTTTACATTCAATCTCATCCTTGTAATTTAATCATCTTCTCAAATTAACTTATAAACCCAATATTTTAATAAAAGTTTAAAAGAAATAAAAATATGGAAATAGATTTTAAACCTAAATATTGGCAGAATTAATTAGGCTATTTTCCTTCCGTCTATGGTATGTACTGTTTATAAAATTATATGTTATATTTGTTTTATATATTAGGTTCCTTGTTGGTTCTCTAATTTTTGTTCACCAACTAATTATTTTATTGTTCACCACATACATATAACAGTAACAATAACAATAAGTTGGACCCCGAAAATAAGATTTAAATCAAAAAAATTAAAATATTATATTTCTAAATAAATCAAATTCCTGTAGTTCTATAATTTTGATACTGTTTTTAACATTTGATATTCATTTTGGGTCAATAATGGAAGAATAGTATGCATTGATTGCAGACATCTTTGGGAGTAGAAAGGTATAGCGTTTGTGTGTGTCGGAAGATACAGATTTGGAGGGCCAAAGGGAAAAAGGGCGAAGTAGTTGCACAGTCATTGTCATGTGAAACTCAAAACTCAAACTTAATCCACAACTTTACTTCTATCTTAAGTATAACAAACTTCTCTTTACTAATGTTTTTCTTCTTTTTAAACACAAAGTTATTTGGTGTGTCGACGAGGATGCTGGCACCTAAAGGAGTGGATTGTGAAATCTCGCATCAACGGCAGAAGGGAACAAAGCATTCAAGGACGTGGAAACCTCTCCCTAACAAATACGATTTTGAAACCTTCAAGAGAAAAAGCCTAAAGAGGACAATATCTGCTAGCGATGAACTTGGGCGGTTACAGAAAATGTGTTTTGAATCATGGCAATCGAAACTAAACATCCTATCCAAATCAAATCCATTCATCAAATCATTACTTCTGAAATCAGTGATGATAACATATGGACTCATGACATGACACCACAAAAATGAAACATATAAGATGACATCAATTTATATGGTTAAATGTTATTATCTGCACTGAAAACAAATCAAGAACACTTAAAACAACACTTCCTGAGAGTGAATTCCATCCTGATGAAGCTTTCCAAATGAATGGACTACAAAATATATAGTAATTGAATAACTAAGTGGTGGTATCCATAATGATAAAGCACCCCAAAAGTTCAAATCAACAAAAAGCTAGTAGAAAACAGCCAAAATCTGAACTAAACAGAATAAATTAACCATTCAAGTTTGGGACAAACCTTAACAAAGTTGCTGAGAGTTT